CAGGCTTGACCACAGCAGCCTTCAAGGTCGCATTAACGCTTGCCGGTGGAGTAGAGACCCTAGAAAGACTTTATCCTCCCTTGACTCAAGAGTAGATGTCTCCACCAGAGCTAAGCACCCCCCAATCCCTTCCGTCAGCGAAGAGAAACAGGTGCCTTTAGGGAGTGATTCATCCAATCTATTTTAAATCTCTTCTACGGGATGAGATAAATCGCATCAAGAAATCTTGGTTTCTCGCATCTATGGGTCCTACCACTGTTGGTGGAGATGTCCCATTTCATGGAAGTCACCTTGGAAGGTGGAACCGCTAGAGTTGTTTGCTTTGAGGTTGATTCCAGCCCTCCACTTCTATAAATAAATGAAAAAAATTATATAGTAATAATATATCTAATATATACATGTATGCCCTGTGGGCATCCCACGTGCTTTCACCGACCAGGTGCCGTCTCTCTCTTTTCCTTCACTCCATTTCTCTTTGCCTACAACTAGAGAAATGAATATTTTCTGTCCCAGATGTGAGGTTTAATATTTGTTACCGGCACTTAGGACATGCTTGAATTATTGTGCTGGCTGCTAACAGAAAAAAAAAAGATTTAGGAGGATTCATATGGTGAACAAACGAAAAAATTTGCTGAAGGTGGTGAGAGGATGGCAGGAAAACTGCCGGAGAGAGCGGCTCTACTCTCCATCCTGATGATTTATCTCTTTCATTTTAGCACTCAAAGAGAATTTTCTTATTAGATTGGAAACAACCTCTTAATGAAAATTGGGCAAGGAAAGCAGCATTTCATACCCCAAATCTCCCTACGACTGGGAGGTGGAGAAAAGAATAATTAATATTGTGGGGACGTTGCGGTGGGGTTGTTCACGTGGTTGGAATTGGGCTCATGGGGTAAAGACCAGGGCAGATCCCGTGGGACCATGGGGCCCCGTTACATCTCCCCCCACACAAAGGGAATATCTGAAAAGGGCATCAAGCAGGGACCCAAAGTCCCTCAGACAGGTATATCCCTACATGACACCTCAATTCTAGATGTAGCCTCTAGTTGTTGATGTCCCATCCCTGGAGGGGTTCAAGGCCAGGTTGGACAGGGCTTTGAGCAACCTGGGCTGGTGGGAGGTGTCCCTGCTCATGGCAGGGGGGTTGGAACTCAATGATCTTTAAGGTCCCTTCCAACTCTAACCATTCTATGATTCTAGTTTGGGGAAATTTCTCTTTTCTCCTTCTCTTTAAGCATCAGATAAGGATAAGGTAAGAGCTTCAACAGCTCTTCAACTTCTGGTTGCCCCACAAGCGCACCTTGCAACACAGAGGCTGCCAGATGACAGTGCAACCACCAAACATCAAATCCCAAATCCTTGATGCTGGATTACAAAGGGCAGAAAATATTTTCTTTGCAAATCTCCAAGTTTCAGAAGAAAAAAAAAATAAAAAAGAAAAGGCAAAAACCTGATGAAACCAGTTGTAAAGTCACTGCTATTTGCACAGTTGCCCAACTCCCAGGACACTTTCCGCAGACTGGCACCCACAACTGTTTAAACCACAGGAAGCAGAGCATGTTGCTACTGGAAAACTGGTTTAAGCATCTCCTCAGCTTCCCTCGAAAATCCAAGTGTAAGTCCACACCTGCTTGCCACCCCATGGCACCCGACGCACTGGGAACGGTGGCAACCACAGCATCCCTGGGATCCACGAGGATGCAGGGAGATGGTCCCTCAGCACCATCCAGATGAGGGGGACCACAATCACTTATACCCTGTCATTTTTCAGGAGGGGTGCCCAGCTCTCAGTAGAATGTCCTTCTCAGTGCTATTGTCCCACCCACACAAGCTAAACCCATCTAAGCTGGGGTAAATGGTCCAGGGGGGCAAACTCCCCTTCCCCACACCTCCTTGGAAGATGGGGAAGAAAAAACGGGAGAGACAGAGATTTAGGGGAGACAGGTCGATTGCAATGACTGATCCGAGACCCACACCAAAGCCTCTACACCACCAGCTTGAATTGGTGCCAAGGTGACCACGGATGGTGGTACTCTGGGGGTGAGGGCTGGGATGACAGCAGAGGGGTTGGAACTCAAAGATCTTTAAGGTTCCTTCCAATTCTGTGATTCTGTGATGGTGGTGCACGAGGTTTGCACTGGGACCCACAGGTTTCTCCTCACCCCAGAGATGCCAACGTGGCACCGGGGCAGGCTCCGAACCATCAGGAGAGCTGCAAAGAAATTAAAAAGCCATTTTTGACACAGCTAAGCAGCTGTGACAGAGGAACAGCCACGCAGAGCCAGCTCGCCCTCGAAGGGAAGGCTGCAATCAGTAACACTGTTAAAAATAAAAACCTCTTTTGCTGACTCTGCAGCTGCAGCTCCAAACAATCAAGTCCTACACAAAGGGCTTCATCTACTGAGGAATCGCGAAATAGCACACAGTCCTGCCTCCAGTTTCCTCAAATAACAAGCAGCTCGGTGGCCAGGGATGCAGGAAGGAGTTTATCTGGGGACAACCATCTCAGGGATGCTCCATGGCTGAGTTGAGCCCCAGTGTGGGGTCAGCAGCAGCCAGGAGAGGGGCAGCCCCGTCCTCGATGGCATCACTCGCTTCTTCTTGAGGTATCACCAACCATCCCTCCCCCTGGAGGTCCCTGAGCATCCTCCCAACCTGTTTTGATATTTTTAAATAAATTGGGTGGATGGTCTGGTAGGACCACCAGCAGCATCACTTCCAGCGTCACCCCATCGCCAGCCTCAAAGCCACGTCCAGCATCTGAGTGCCACCAAAAAATGCAGCTCCAGAGATGGTGGAACAGATGTGATTCATGAAACCCTGCTTTGGAAAATAATGTCAGGTTTATTAATTCAGCTCCAGCACAACATTGGTCGGGCATTGGAATAGGCTGCCCAGGAAACACTGGTCGGGCATTGGAAGGTGGTTGAGTCACCATCCCTGGCTGTGCCACGTCCAGCATCTGAGTGCCACCAAAAAATGCAGCTCCAGAGATGGTGGAACAGATGTGATTCATGAAACCCTGCTTTGGAAAATAATGTCAGGTTTATTAATTCAGCTCCAGCAAAACACTGGTCGGGCATTGGAAGGTGGTTGAGTCACCATCCCTGGCTGTGTTTAAGAACCGTTTAGATGTGGTGTTGGGGGATATGGTATAGGCGAGAACTTGAGAGTAGGGTAGATGGTTGGACTCGATGATCCCGAGGGTCTCTTCCAGCCTAGATGATTCTGTGATTCTGTGATCCTCAGAGCTTCCCAACCTCACTCCAACAGGAGCAGTCAGGCCATCCCTGCCTCCTCTACTGGTGTCTACACCCCTGAGCTGGCCACCCCAACTTGCTCCCTAGCTGGGAAGAAAGAAATAGACATCACTAGGGAACGAGTTTTGGGGTTTTCCCATCTCAGACAGATGAGTCCCTGCAAGCCAGAGCTCCAGGGAGAACGTCCAAGAGCAGCCAAGGGCTGAGGACGAGAAAGCTGGTGCCTCGAGGTCTTGGAAGGGCTGAAAATCCAGACTGGTGAGATGGAAGTCAGCAACTACCATCCAGCTAGCAGGTAAAATTGGGGAAGCACTCCCTGCTCACAGGAGGTTGCACACCTTCTCCTGAAGACCATCACGCCCTACACAAATGATCCCAGATTGGATGCTGTCTCAGCACTAAAAATGCAGATCCAAGACCTGCCAAGGCTGGTGTTCAAACCCCTGATTTCTAAGCCTCTGTTTTGGAACAGCCCAGACCAGGCTGGGGCTTGGTCCACCACAAAAATATGACTTTGTTGTTTCTCCTACTGATGTAAGAGAAGCTGGAACGAGTAATGCTTTAATATTAACTTTGGTAGTGGGAATGAGAAAAAGAAAAAGGAAGATAAAGTCTTTTTTCAGTCGGAGCAGGTAATGCTTTAAGGTTAACTTTGGTAGTGGGAATAAGAAAAAGGAAGATAAAGTCTTTTTTCAGTGGTGCCCAGGGACAGGACAAGAGGTAACAGGCACAAACTTGACCATCAGAAGTTCCATCTCAACATGAGGAGGAACTTCTTTCGTGTGAGGGTGGCAGAGACCTGGCAGAGGCTGCCCAGAGAGGTGGTGGAGTCTCCTTCTCTGGAGACATTTAAACCCTACCCGGACACGTTCCTGTGGGACCTGCTCTGGGTGGACCTGTTCTGGCAGGAGGTTGGACTAGATGATCTCCAGAGGTCCCTTCCAACCCCACAGCATTCTGCAAAAACAAGCCTAGAAATTGCAGGTAGGTTTTTTGATCCAAAATTCGTACTGAGCTTCATAGACTGAACTATTCCCCCACCCAACCCACTGCAGGAGAGCTACAAGCAGTGGCAAAGAAGGTCAAGACCCTCACATTTACACAATCTTCTACATTATACCTCCTTTTTTTTTATGGCTGTAATTTGGCAAGGGTGCAGAGATGGCCTCTGTTTTCAAGCAGACAGATGACAGGGTGTCTACCCCCAAAACTTCAAGCCTGCTAATTGGTAGGAGGTTGTTTTGGGAGGATGATGCCTCGCTCCTGTCCTGGGGATGTAATTACAAGAGGAAGATTGATGCCTCATCCTCGGATCGGCGGGAGAGGCTCCAGAGGGACGTTTATAGATCACACCACGACCGCAGTAATCACGCGGGGCCGTTAACGACACCCGGCTGAGTTCTGCAAACACGCTTCAGAGAGGTGTCCAAACACAAGGAAAGAGGAATTAATCTTCCGGGAGAATTATTTAAGACTTATAATCTGTTGAGAAAGGAATTACCAGCTGAGCGCTCTGCAAAGCTATGGTAATTACACTAACAAATTAGAAGTACATTTATCTGCTTTCAAAGATGTTCATCAACATTGAACGCTTGGCTTTCCCCATACACAGTTATGGGTAGAAACCATTATTCTTTGGAGGCTCCCACGTACCAGCCCCACACCATAACAGACCTATTTCACCAGGGAACCAGCCAAAACAAATTCCCACTTTTAGGCCACATCATCTCCAAGACTCACCTCAAGTGCATCCTGCAGCCATCTGACTTATGGTCCTCGTAACGTAAGGTTGTCATCATCACGACCTGTCCTGGCAGCAAAAATGGCCCTGGAACTCAAGAAGCTTGATCTGGTAAAATAAATAAAAGGGAAAAAAATAAATAAAGGCTTGTAGAAAGTGCTGTGGATAGATATGCATGTCTTATTATTGATCAGATCCCCCCTCAGCCTTCTCTTCTCCAGACTCAAAAGCCCCAAGTCCCTCAGCCTTGGTGTATGGGGGCTGGAGAGCATCCTGTAAAGCCTGATGCCCCATCTCTTCAAGCTCCCAGAACCTGTCTCCTTCAGCCCCCGAGCAACCACCTCCAGTGCTCGGGCTCCCAGAAGGGAGAAGGAGAAAACACCCATCATCTTCCATCAAATGTCAGACCTGGGGCTTGTCCCTCTGCAGGCATCTCACCCAGGAGGTGCCACCTTGCCCCCACTTGTGCACCAGGGACCTGGCACCACCTTCTGTTGCCATCAGAGATGCAGCAGCAGCTCAGCACCCTCAGAGGTGGCCCTCAGAGCCTCCCAGGGGCAGATTGTGATGGCCAAGGATCCTTTCCCACCACAAGACACAAGACACCACCTCTGTCATGTCTCACATGCTCTACAGAACCTTGCTCCCAACCTCCTTCACTTCCCAGGGACAGATTTTGATGGCCAAGGACCCTTTCCCACCACAAGACACAAGACACCACCTCTGTCATGTCTCACATGTTCTACAGAACCTCACTCCCAACCTCCTTCACTTCCCAGGGGCAGATTTTGATGGCCAAGGATCCTTTCCCACCACAAGACACAAGACACCACCTCTGTCATGTCTCACATGCTCTACAGAACCTTGCTCCCAGCCTCCTTCACTTCCCAGGGACAGATTTTGATGGCCAAGGATCCTTTCCCACCACAAGACACAAGACACCACCTCTGTCATGTCTCACGTGCTCTACAGAACCTCGTTCTCAACCTCCTTCACTTCCCAGGGACGGCACCCAGAGCAAAACTGATCTACAGATCTACAACCTCCTTCCCTTCCCAGGGACGGCACCCAGAGCAAAACTGCTGCTCCTCAAAAGTGTCCTGTAGGTTATTAGCTTCTAAATGAGCTAATCTACTAAAAAAATAGCTTATCATGCACCAGGACTGTGCAGCCCATCTCCATCTCACGTCCAAGAAAGCACGACAGCCCAAAGAACGTGCAGGCAGCAGCAGTAAAACCACCGGTACACCACGATGTGACCTTCCCCCAGCATCACTGGAGGAACATGGGACATGGGATTTCAGACAGGACAATGGTCCTGGCTGCTGCTCCTCAAAAGTGTCCTGTAGGTTATTAGCTTCTAAATGAGCTAATCTACTAAAAAAATAGCTTATCATGCACCAGGACTGTGCAGCCCATCTCCATCTCACGTCCAAGAAAGCACGACAGCCCAAAGAACGTGCAGGCAGCAGCAGTAAAACCACCAGTATACCACGATGTGACCTTCTCCCAGCATCACTGGAGGAACATGGGAGATGGGATTTCAGACAGGACAATGGTCCTGGCCTGGCACATGCTGTAGCCCAAGGTCCATCCACGCTATGCCAATGAGGAGGAGTCTCAGAATCACCAAGATGCCTGGTTTGGATGGGGGGTTGCCAACTGGAGGAGCTGGAGCATCACCGCTGTTGGGGAGGGATGCAGAAGAATGAACATCCAACCCCCAGGCTGGGGACTTAACATCTCACCCCCCTTTTCCTGGGGAAGTTCTGAAACAGAATCGATCGGTGGCGTGCGATGAGAAAATACTCTCCTGCAATTAATCACTCAAGGAAAAGCTGGTCACGTCTCATCAAGTTGCTTTCAAAACACCATCTCTTCCTGAAACAGGGATGGAGGAGGTGGGAGAGGTCCCGGCTCCTGGCGAGGGTAGACGTGGCAGCCTGGCACTAGCCATCCATCACTGGAACTCCAACCCAGCACAGACCAGCCAAGGTGGACCTGATGTGACTTAAACTCTTGCTCAATCCAGTTTCTGCCTTCTTCATCTCTGGTTTGGTGCTGTGAGAGTGCCCTGAGGGCTGTGCCAAGGTGCCCAGCCCCCTTGATCTCTTCCTGTGCACCCAGGTGGTGATTTCCTGAGGACTCGGAGCCTACAGGAGCTTCATTGTAGGCTTTGCTGAGGAGCCTGAGTTGTGTGGGTGTCTATTTTTGTCAGTTAGGTTGACGGTTGGACAAGATGATCTTTAAGGTCCCTTCCAACCTAGAAGATTCTGTGATTCTGATTCTGTGACATGTTGTGACATGAAACCAGGCTCCGGGACGGGATTATCATCCTCTTGTCAGAACTCAAACCACTTAATCACTTTACACGGCGACGGAGAAGATGAGTTGTCCCTGCAGCGAGGGAGGATGAGGGTGTGCTCACGCAACGGCTCGAGGGGAGGTGGAAACCCTCAGGCATGGTCCCAGGGATGGGGACAACCACCCTTTGGGTCGTCCCTGGCCACCACCTCGCTGCCTTTGAAGATGCCAACTGGCAAACATAAGAGGAGAGGGGAGATTTTCTCCCAGAAGAGCCCTCACCCACTTCATAGCCCGCTGCAAAATTGAGAGGGGAGGTGCCTCCGTTTAATTACGAAATCAGAAGGGCAGGGTTTTAATTGCCTCCCTCTTTTCCAGGGCCAACCGAGCGCTTCCTGTGGTGGGTATTTTCCCAGATGCCAACTTGCACGTTGCGTGGCAAAGAGAAGCACACCACCAACACCAGCCACAGGATGATTACAGAGCAGCACAACAAGGGAGACAGAAAATAAAATAAATTGAGGGCAAGGCCACTACCCACAATGGCCATTCTGTAGTTTGCATCTAAAAATACCCTGCTCAAAGAAGGAGGCTTTTAACTTAACCCTCTGACCAAAGCAAATAAAATCAGGTTGAGGCCACATTCAGGCAGAGAGGGCAGGAATAGAAAACGTACGGCTTTTTTTAGGGTATTTATGTTTTATTTTAAACCCGACCTTTATTCACCCAGTTATCTGCAGCTGTTTACGGTGTATCTTATTATTTTTTTCCCCTCTGCACAGAGAGAGGATATGCAGAGAGGAGAGAAAGCCTGGTTTGTTGCTCAGATGTTTGGTTTTTTTTTTATATCAGGGATAAAGTGGCAGAAGGCACAGTTATTTCCTCGTGCCAGCAAAAGAAGAGCGACCACGAGATAAGGGATAGGAACAGACCGAGCCTCCCAACTACAGCCTCCCACATTCCAGATTACAGCCTCAGGCCCCACTTTTTAGAACATGGGGCATTCAGATCTTCCCAAAAAAAAAAAAAAAATTTTAAAAAAAAAAAAAATCAGTGTGCCAAGTGAAAAAACCCGACCTG